ATATATATATATATATATATATATATATATATATATATATATATATATATATATATATATATATATATATATATATATATATATAGAATTTTGTAAGGTAAATACGAATTACCATATCAATGCATTAAGAAAACAAAGGGAGAAAAATCTAACTCCCTAAGAGGACAGTGGTCAACGCAAATCATTGGTGGGTCCCACCTCTATTTATTTTGACAATTAAAATTTTTATTAGATAGGCTAATTAATACTCATAAATATATTGGATAAGATTTCGAACTTTCGATCTTCATGTAAAACATGTTAAATTATATTTTTATTTCTCGGATGAGATACCCAAGGAAAAGAGATTTGGGTTAGATGAGAGTGACTTGTTAAGTTAATGAGTTTACTTATCGAATTGAAATGGGACAAATATTGTAAGAGGAAACCTTATATCATCATAAAAATAGTTGCATCAGACTATATGAGTGAGTCAACTCTGATCCACAAGTGACAACACCAGCATGAGTGAGATCCAAAGTTAGATGCATGGTATGAGTCCAGTGATCATGCTGAGCTTGGCAAAGGAAGACGAAGAAGGTTAGCTAGTTGACTGTGAGATGGCTGACTCCGAGAATGACCAGTACGAGAGAAAGAGAGAGAGAGAGAGAGAGAGAGAGAGAGAGCAAGTGTGCTACAAGTGCCACTGTCACTGCCACTGCCACTGCCACTGCCTCCTCCACTACCTTTGGCTCAGTGCTCTGCATCAGTTCTTTCTCCGTTCATTCATTCATGTTGGTGGCCCGCAGCTCGGTGCCCAATCTACAATTCTTCTTCGGTCTTCAGCAGCCCTTTCACACCCACCCATGCATCGATCATCTATTGGACTCTTACAGTAGCAATCATACAAATATTCTGAAACACTCTTTTTCTTCTTTTACTTTTGCGTTCTATAATTCTGCTTCAGATTACTGCTGTTCGTTTCCTTTTGGGATTTCAAGAAGAGTTGTGAGGGACTCATGCAAAGTATTCCGAAGGGCTCTGTCCAAAGCGGAGAGTGTTCTTTTACAGTATAAGAAGCTCGGCGTGATACGGGAGAGAAGGGTGTTGGCATCTCAAGTGACGAGAGGAAAGCAGATGAAGTTTATGTACAGTAGCAATATAAATCATTACACAGAATCTGCAAGCAGGACAGCCACCGAACCTCTCACCGCTCTCCTTCTGTCTCCTTTGGCTCACGTAACGCGCAGGAAAATTACTACACGGCGGAGATCGGCAGGACGACAACAGAAAAGCCTCGAAAGAACTCGATTGTGGCAGATGACGGCAACACAAAAGCCTGATTGCAGCACCGGGGCAGCGTGAGGTCTCCATCGCTGTCTCTCTTTCCCCTTCCATTTCTTCTCCTCTTTGTCAGACGAATCTACGTCGATAGCCACTCCGATGGATGACCGATTATTGAGTGTCCTTCAAAAGATCGAAAACAAGTATAGATAATATAATGCAAGGTGATACGCTTGTGCTACTCAAGGCAGCGATGCCGAGAGGTGAGAGTGAAATATGAATGGATGAAACCTACACGTTTCCTTCCACTCTTACACACCAGTTGATGCACTTCTGGCAGCTCAATGGCTTTTGCAGGATGCATTCTTCGTGCATCGATGTGGACAGATGAGGAGACTGTGTGTGGAAGAATGCAGTGGCCAAGAGAATCCTGTCGTGTTAAGGCACACACAAACATCATTGTCATCTGAATCTTCTCACAGATGGATGGAGTCAAGCAAGACAGCAACAGAAGGCAGGACAGTGTCGAGACTGAGGCGTCGTCGTCTTCGTTGGCAAATTATTATGTCTCTTCCTTCCTTCTATCAGACTTCTCGAAGAGATTATACTTGCAATTGTGATTCCAAACTTGCAACAGAAGGCATTACTTTTCAAATTTTCTTATTGCTAAGGTCATTTAGTCCCATGGTTGAAAACCAAAAGCTAAGTCAGTCATGTCTCCCTTGCCCTTAAAAATATTTTTTTGAAACTCACATATTTTGAAAGGATAAAATTATACGAGTACATCAAGTTTTCAAATAAAAAATTCATCGTGAATCTACGAGCCACACCAATCGTCCTCTCCCTTACCTTCAAAGGTCCCTTATTAGATTGGCATAAGAAGGAGGGCACTTAATATTAAATTATCATGTACTCGGAAACACATCATACATAAGTGTTTATGATGAATTCTAATAAAACCTGAAACTGGATTGTTTAGCCTCAAATAAGTTCCTATCAGCCTTTGGCTCTACTATGTCTAATTGGCCTCAAGTCAGCCTTTTATATCATCATAGAGGGTTGATAAGGAGTCAATTCAGGTTAGGGATAGTGTGCTATATATTTCAGCCCAAAGATTCATTGGCTCAGCAAATTGTATATTGTGACATTAAATTTAAATAAGTAAAATAAAATATTTCAACTAAAAGAATAGAGGACCTATAGCTCTCAATGATCCTCCTCCTTGTTCCCTCCCAACAGATGAAGATCAAGGAGAGGGAGTGTTCTTCTAAAGGAAATAAAAGATTATATATTTTTGAATTAACTAATTTCATACCTAATTTCCTGCACAATTAAGGAAGGAAATGAGTTGATCCAAATAAGATAGAACCCTAATTATAGATTTTTTTTGTAATTTAGGAGATTGGAAGAATATTTGATGATTATTGTATATTTTTATAATTTGACTTAATCTCTAACAAGGGAATTCGGGATCGAATGCCCTAAACCAAATACGAATTAGTCTACCTAACATGAGTCGAAGTTTTTATTTAAAAGAATATATTTAAGAAGCAAAAGAGAAGATGTCGGGTTTGATTGCACTGAAATACCCTAACTTAGTCCTATATCGAAAGTGAGTTAGGATTTACATTGACTTATAACAAACGTATTATTGTTAACTTGGATTTATATTCTGGATCGATTATTCAGACTCAATAAATTAACAAATAAATTATCGTATCATATCATACCCAATCATGATAGTGTTGAACCAAATTGACTAGCACTAAATATTCATTTGATCAAATTATATAGAACTAAAAATTCACAGCAGGAATCAGTTGATTTTAGTAAGATGATAGGAATCTAATGACGCTAGATTTGTTATCTACTTCCCTTTCAACTCTCTCTAATCCTTACCAAATGCTTGTTCTCATAAAAAAGAAGCTAGCATGATGTATAGAGTGAAAAAAAATGGGTATAAAAAGTATGTCTGTCCATGAAAATGATTATGGTTCATACATCACAGATATGATCTCAATTATTACTCTTATTTTTACTACTTTTCTGCCCTTTTGTTTTGAGAAAGCTTGAAACTACTTCAAGTGGTGTTGTTAGAAAACTAGACTTCTCAAACATCAAGCATATATGCTAAAAAAAGGAGAGCAATCATTAAAAAGAAACAGTGAAAATGAGTCCTCATCCATTGAGAAAATAATTTCAGATCAAATACCAACCATCAGCTTAATTGGTGAATTTTTCCCAACTAAAGAACTAAGTTCAGGATTGCTATCTGCTTATGTTACTAAAATATCAATTCAGAAGAAAAATGATGTAGATTTTGAGGAAATAAAATGGCATGATATTGTATTCTTTTATTTACTTTCATGATAGATCTGATTCCAAGTTTCTCATGTGCAGGTTTGGGCATATCACAAAACCATTCTTTGTGTAGCCTCCATAGTTTATATCTCTCAGACAGACATCTCTAATGTGGATGAAAGCATCTATTTCTTCATCAAAACATCTTCCTTAATTCATATCTGCATGTTACAGAGAAAGACACATGTGATCAATATGAACTCTGAATCTTTTTAAATGAATTGTTCAAGAAACAGATATCTAATTAAATGAATTCCTATCTGCATGTTCATCTCTTGTCTAAAGCCCAGAAGGATTAGAGAAATGAAGATAAGAGTATACAACATGGCTGTCAAATTTATTGTAAGTGTTTGAAGTAAATTCACCACATTTATCCATTCTAAAAAATCTTAGCTATAATTTAGATTAAAATTTTCACGTGTTGGTTCCTGCATTTTGGGCTAATTATCAATCATCATTATCTTCATTCATAATTCTACACACTATTCCTAAATCTATTACAAATAGGTTCACAACAGAATATGAATATCTGAATCTTTTATTTTTCTTCATTGTTCTAAATCATGCTCTCATTTTTCATTAAAAAGAAATAGATCGAACAAAAAACAAAAATTCGATTAAAAAAAACTTAAATATAATTAGATTATGACAAATGATTATCGGAGATAGATGACAGAGACAAAATTTCAATATTAAATAGAAATTATTATCGTGTCGAGATATAAATAGAGATAAAGAATAAATGTCAAAAATATAAGAATGGTAAATAACCAAGCAAGTTGACATGATGTCCTTCCAAATGGTCCATTTTGGAGGCTAGTAGCCATCATTGTTATTATGTTAATCTGGCAGATTAAGCTCATTATCTAAATAATGTACTGCCAAAACTGCTGCATGCACAGAAAAAAAAAACCTCATGTGACACATAATTAATTGTTCATTCTATAACTTCATGATGCTATCTCAAGGCATCTTGAAATGTTTTTAACTGAAATATGTGCATGCTTCACGTGGAAACTATCTTAAATGGTGAGACAGCAAAAGATAGAACACTTATTACAAAATATTTTAATCCAAATCTCTTGACTGAAACTTCCAAGAAATTGATACCCAATCAACAAGCATCAGATCCAGCAGATTTGGATCCATGATTGATTCAGTAGTCCATCATCTTGGTTGGACCTCTCCATTTGGTGCTGTTCCAAGTAGGAAACAAAGCTTTGAAACCATTGAGATCATGAAGGAAAGAAACTTATCTGCCTGCCCCAACAAAAATCCTTTATCCCAGTCAAGATCCAGGTTTTTAAGACTAATATCCAGTGTAATTTTCTTGCAAGGTCAATGAGTATTTGGGTTTTGGCAATCCTGGACAGCTCTGCAACAATGGGATCCTCTGTCATGTCCCAAAATTGCCACCTTGAGAAGATCCTTGAGTTGGCCAGTCCACAGTGACAGCTACTGACTCACATGACTTCTGGAGCTCATCCATTGATCTCCCCAACCTCAGCATATATATAGCACCCAAGGAAGACATGCTGTCTTCTCTTTCAATACACTGCATGTTGTCTAGATAGTAGGATTCTTCACTCACTGCCTTATTGTTGACATCCACCTCTTCTTTATTTCTTCTGCGAACAGTGTTAAAAACGACAGACAAGTTAGAGAGAGGGTTGCAGTGGCCATTATGGAGGATGTGGAGAATGGCATTCATGTCACCCATGAGAGTGAGGTGAGGAAGCCTCTCATTCAACAACGGGAGTTGGCCAAAGCAGAAGAGTCTTCATCAGATGGCCAGGGATCCTTGTGGATGGTTCTGCTCAGCACTGGGGTTGCAGTCTGTGGCTCCTTTGAGTTTGGCTCATGTGTAAGCTTCTCTTTACTCTGCACAAGCTCCAAATTTGTGGGTGCCATAAAAGGCCAAAACAGACTCTGATATGGCCATCTAAGCAAAGAGTGGTTCACAGTCTGAATGAGGAAGACTCAAACCAAAGAAATTTACTGATGCACTCAACAATTTGTAATGACTATAACAATTCTGAAAAGTTAGCTTGAGTTCAATTAACACTATAAGATGTATCTTGTAGATTGGCTACTCTGCACCAACTCAGGCAGGGATTACAAAGGACATTGGCCTCTCTCTATCTCAGGTTACTTCTGAAGCCTCACTATTGACATAATGTCATATCATGTGTTTAGCTATGACACTTCAAAACATACTGATCATTAAAAATGTTGCATGAGAAAAAAGAACAACTCAAAAGCAGAAAAGGAAGGATTTCTCACATTACTGTCAGCTCATCACATCATCATGGAAATGTTGATGTCTCTGTGGTTAAGCTTTAATGACAATACCTTGAGTACATCATGATTACTCGAAGTAGATTTATATCATAATTTTTTATGCATGCTTTCTCTATCAATTTTTCAGTACTCGATCTTCGCTTCCATATTAACCACTGGGGGGATGGTTGGCGCAGTCACAAGCGGGCATCTTTCAGATTATTTCGGTCGCAAAGGAGTAATAAGCAAGATTTTTCTTATACATCAAATTTCAAGATTTAATTTTGTATACAATTTATTGATTCTTTTTCTTTTTTGTATGATGCAGGCCATGAGAATATCTGCTGTTGTCTGCATTATTGGATGGCTAGCCATTTACTTTGCCAAGGTTGTTGCTACCAAACTAGCAGCTTTCTTTATTAATTTGCTTGCAAGCAACTTCATAAGCTAATCAAAGTGTTGGTTCATTTCAAAGGAAACCTTCTTGCTGTGTCTTGGAAGGCTGTTCACAGGCTATGGGATTGGAGTACTTTCCTATGTGGTATGAACACAGCAAATTGCTATATGTTTAGTCTGCTTGATGAACATTAATAAAGGAGAAGGATTTGTTCATCATACAATTACAAGAAATTGCTTTTGGATGGCCAGCAACTGAGAAGATTCTTTGTAGTTTAGAATAATTTAAGGTTCTTACAATGAGATCATCTACTGTGACAGGTACCTGTGTTCATTGCTGAAATAGCACCAAAGAATCTAAGAGGTGGACTCACATCCCTGAACCAGGTAAAGTATCAAATTTCTATCCATGTTTTTTGCTGAAAGCAGAAATTTAAGACCTCATCCATATCTAATTACTTACGCTGCACTTCTTCACAGCTGCTGCTAGTTGGTGGTAACTCGGTTGCATTTATAATTGGCACTCTTGTTTCCTGGCGCGCATTGGTGTTAGTAGGTAATTATGCCGTGTCTTAGCATGCTTACCTTATACTCACTACAACACAAGCTACAAAAGTTATGAAGGAAATAGAAATGAAGATGCTGACTTATCTTTATGCAGGGGTTCTTCCATGCCTTGTTCTACTTCTGGGCCTTGTTTTCATTCCAGAGTCTCCAAGATGGCTGGTTTTTGTTCCACCTAACACAATATCATATAACTAAGATACAGGTCAAATGGCGATCTGCCTTAATTGACATCGAACAAAATTGCAGGCAAAGGTGGAACACCAGAAAGAGTCCATATCTGCATTGCAAAAGCTTCGAGGAAAAGATGCTGATATCACTCAAGAAACAGCAGAGATTCAAGTATGTGCAGTAACCATGATTGCATAGTGTTCAGTATTATAAAGCATCAAAGTTGCAGTAAATCAAACTTGCTTTTGCAGGAATGCATTGAAAACCTTCAGACCCTTCCAAGAGCTGGTTTTCAGGACCTGTTTCAGAGCAGATATATTCGATCAGTGATTGTAAGCAAATTTCTAAATTTCATCAACCGCATGAATCTTGGCAAGAGGCATAATTTTATCAGTGTGTACCGATGAATCACATTGAAATTTACAGGTGAGTGTTGGTCTAATGGTGTTTCAACAAACTGGAGGCATCAATGGAGTTGGATTTTATGCAAGCCAGATCTTTGTATCTGCAGGTGGACTACTACCTCAAGAAACATAAGGTTTCATGCATCTTGTCAACTACAAGTGGGAAGTTTCATGCCTATCATTCATGTTGTGACTGCAGGATTCTCTTCAGGCAACTTTGGGACCATACTGATGGGATGCATTCAGGTCTCAATTCTTGAAGTATACTTGATCATCCACACATTCTACTAAATTTGCTGCTAATAACAAGATTCTTATGTGCAGGTGCCCATCACAATAGTGGGTGCTATTTTGATGGACAGGTGTGGGAGAATACCTCTGCTCATGGTAGACACAATGAAATAGAAAATTATTTGTTCTTCTAACCAGTTTCAATGAAATGAACCAGAGAGAGAATTCTTTTGCAATGCAGGTTTCTGCATCAGGGTCTTCCGTTGGTTGCTTTATCACAGGGATATCATTCTACCTGAAGGCAAGTCTGAATCTTTCTGTAGTACTTACAGTGAAGTTGATGAATTCAGTAAAGTTTGAATTTAAACTCAACTATTGAAACAGGGACAGGGAATATACATGGATTGCGTTCCCACACTGGCTCTCTCTGGCATATTGGTGAGCAAGAACATTAAATTTTAGGATGTTCTCATTTCATGACCCATCTTAAATCATAATGCAGTAATAATCATCCGTCGTCGTAAAATCTGTACTAAAATGGCTAGAACTAATGAAAACATAAAACTAAAAATTTGAATTGCTCGGTAAAAGTTTCTTACCAATTTTTACAAGCTTTTACATGCTGTATCTGATTGCATTACCGAGTATGGCTCACTTCATTCTTTCTTAATATCTAGGTGTATTTGGGATCATATTCAATTGGAATGGGTGCTGTTCCTTGGGTTATGATGTCTGAGGTAAGAAAACTGAAATAAAAACAATCTTTATTAAAAATCTTGTGTTGATTTTTCCTTAATCATAAGGAAGTGATTAAAAATCTTAGATTGCCTCAACTTGTATGTTTGGTACAGATATTCCCCTTAAATATAAAAGGAGTTGGAGGAAGCCTAGTAACTTTAGTCAGCTGGTTTGGATCTTGGGCGGTCTCTTATGCCTTCAACTTTCTCATGAGCTGGAGTTCTGCAGGTAAGGGGTCAACTCCTACATCATGTACTGCATCACTGGTGCTCATATTATTTCAAGACCATGTATTGGCGCAATCCAATAAAACTAAAAACTATGAAAGAAAGAGACGTAAAAGGTGTAAGCTAAACAAGACTTAAATCTTTTGATGGAGATCTTCTAACTTCAAAGTTGAGTCTCTTTTTTCCGTGTTGCAGTAATTGTAGTACTAAAAGAATTCCACATAGGCAGATTTGCATTTCGCTAGAAGCTACTTGAAAAGATAATATAACAGCTCTTCGTTCTAGCAACATCAGATCAAAGAGGAAAGTCTGTACTGTGGAAGAACAAATATTTGGAAAAATGTTAAGAATATAAATCAGATCATATCTCTTCTACTAGTTTAAACTCATAAATGTAACAACATTAATTAAAATCTTGAGATGGAAAAAAAAATGCATGCCCGAATCAATTTAAAGTCCACTCATTCAGTATGTGCTAGTTTGCCACCTACATGTGAGAGACATATGTATTTTATTTTTAAAGATTGGTATGTACAAGATTACAAGATTTAAATACTAAACACTTAACTCTGATTCCATCTTAAATTTTATAACATTGTCGATACGTTCAAAGGCTTAAGTTTTTTTATGAAATGATATTGATAAAAAAAGAATTAAGACAAAAATTGACCTTATGCTGCTGCTGCTTGTTGTTGTTGTCGTATATATTTCAGTTATATGATCATCTGCTCTTATTTTCTTCACCATATCTGCAGGTACCTTCTTCCTCTTTTCAGCAGCAGGTGCAGCAACTCTTCTGTTTGTGGCAAGGGTTGTACCTGAAACAAAAGGTCGTTCATTGGAAGAGATCCAAGAGTCACTCAACTCCTCCAAGTAAACTAAGAGAAAAAGGATGGGTGAATGTGAAACATGAGTTGTTTGTAAACATCTCAATTGCAATAAAAGAGCAAATCACATTCCATTTATCACTATTTTCTTCTTCTAAAACTATTATCACATTATGTTCGGCACTAAAAATTACAAATCATGGTATGGAATGACAGAAGAAATTGAGAAATATAAATGAAAACAAAGATGAAGCAGCATGTCATATTATCTTCCTCATGTTGCATGCTCCAAAATGATCCTCATCAACAATGATGATGCCACATATGTTGCCTGGAGGAATACAATAATATTTTTTTTCATTAATTTAATGAATTATAATTTAACTTCTAAGCTAATAAATTGATTAATTATATCATGGATGGGTATAACTACTACTACAAAGACAATATTTAACCTACATAGCTTATGAGATGCTTCAATCTTTAATTATACTGAAGTAATTAAATTTACGAATAAATATTGTAAAGGATTATTAACATATAGTAATTTATAAAAAATGCATTTGGATATGAAATCCTTTTTGTGTTACATAAATAACTAGTTTTGTTTGATCTTCTATTATATAGATTTTTAAATATAAATATACAATATGACATCATAGTTCCGTGACTTTTATCCCGCATCAATTGTAGAACAAGACTTGGTTTGCTTTTTATGACCAGATGAATATTTATTACTAATTGAGTTTAAACATTTTGAATCAGTGATTCCATTTTACTTTGAATATTTATCTTTGTTGATCACGAAAAGATTTTGGTTGGACATGAGACCAAACTTTTAAATGCTACTATATCTTTTAGTTTAATTCTATGACACTTGAACTATTTTTCTATTTAGCAATGGGAATACCATGAATGTCTCTCTTATGAGATGACCACATAGTATACAATTTACGATGAAACATACCATAAAACTAAATTGACCCATCATTGATTCAAATACTAATTAATCAAATTGCAAAGCTATATTCTCACTTTTCTCAATAGGATTAGGGCAGATGAATGGGTCACGAATCCACATCCCTCGCAATTAAAACTTTCAAAGAGTTCATTCTGATCCCAACTGTGCATCACCAGATTCACAACTTGATAAGAGTGTTCATAAATCATAATTAAAAGAGGCATCAAAATTATTAACTATAAGGAAATGACTGCACAAAATAAAGCACAAGATGACAAATTGCTTAATCCTTTCATCAAGTACACACTGTAGTAATACACCAGTAGAACAATCACTAACCAGGCATGATTGCATGACAGTTTCATACATTTAATGATCCTACAGTAGTATTAAACATATACAGTATGATTTCCCCGCTGATATGAAAGATACTTTTAATCACACACACAAGTAGCAAAACCATTTGCCTTCATCCTAACCATCTGATTGCATGCCCCTAAGCATGTTCATGATAGAAAGGAACAGGTTGAGTATGTCAAGGTACAGGACAACTGATGCCCAGATGTACTCGTCATAAGTGTAGCGCTTGATCAATTGGTCTGTATCATACACGATGAAAGCAGAGAAAACAAGAGCCCCAAGCCCACCAAATATTGCAACCGATGTTGGTCCAAGGGGGAAGAATATCTGCAGTTTCAGTCATGCACCAGCACATCGTTAATGAAAAAATAATAAAAAAATTAGAGTAAGTCTTAATTCATTTTTCTGCTTGTTGGAAAACACTAATGCACGGTTTAAAGTCTCAAAATATTGACCAATTCTGTGCTGGCCTATTTCCAAGATCAACTTGGTCCACTGGCTTCCAAGTGGCATAAGCCCATATCAGACCAATTTTCAATCTTCATGGTTAGAATGCTTCAGAACAGTATCCAACCTTTAGATTTTAAAGAACATAGATCTAGCTTTTCTTTCTTTTTTCTATTAAACATATCATTCACCACAGGAGTTTTTCTCATGCTCAGGAGTGCTGGCATTGCTGCGTCTGATCATTGGAGGGGGTCAGAGGGGAAAAGATAAAGCAGGTCCTGCATCAACCTGACAAAGGGAAGGCCAAGACACGGTGTTTTACTTATCTACACAGCTTATCACCTTTTTTGCAGATTTGATGTCGTTTTGCTGACTACCACTGGAACCCCTACATCAGCATGACAATTTTCCATGCCAGCTAAAAACTGAATTGGGGAGATACACAAAAATTTCAATTCTCGATTTACTGTATTATAGATCTAGCAAATAGGATATGCTGATATGCAATATCATATGATCTTAATTACAACATGTGAATATCTGCCATCATTCAGGCTCCTTGACAAAATAAAAAGCTTCTATTATATGCTTATCTTTTTAAACTTCAAGTGTGACTCATTTGATATTGAGATTGTATGCCTTTTAAGTAACTACAATTTCATAGATATCATCTTAATGACATTCACTGCTCTATCCTTATGCCTCATGGTACTACCAATCCACTGTTATGTCAATCCAATTTCCATAGGTCACATCTCCTCATTGATAGGCATGTAATCTCATCTGCAAGTATCTTCAACAGCACATATATCAATAATATAAGCACCACCGTATGTATTCTTTGGACATCATCACCACCACCACCATGTGGACAATACCACACAACATGCAAAACCAGTCCTCCAAAATTCATTATCGTTTGCCAATGATGTCAACAGCTAGCATTGGGACTACCCAAGATCAAGAACAGTTATTGATCCTAGTGATCTTTGGTAGACAGGATCATTTTAGGCTCACTTTAGTAATATGTAATTGTGCATTGCCTTAAAGTAGACAGTCTCTCAAAGGCAAGTATGATTGTCACTAGCATTGAATGATACTTTCCTATATATACTAGAGAACAACAAACAACTACATTCATCTAAAAAATGAATGCCTTAGTGAATAAGGCTCCGAGGTAATTAACATACCTGGATGAAAGTTGTCAAGAGAAGCACAGTGAGAGCGGAAAATAGAATTGGTCCAAGGTAACTAAAGTCCTTGCCCTTTCTTGAAGCCCAGAAAGTATATCCAGTCAACGACAACACAACAGCAGAAGTTAAAATCAATGCTTCCAAAACAATCCTTCCTGCAGAGTAATGGAAGCAACAAGAGTTTATGAAAACAGCGTACTATTGACAAGAAAATGAATGTGAACTACAGAATATGGTTAATCTAATAGTATTACCTTGGGTATTTGCACAGGCCACACCAACACTTAAGCTTAGGCACACAGTGAACAGTCCAAGGAACAAAAAGTTTAGTGGATGCTTTTGTTGATAATGGTACAATGGGAACAACACTGTGATACAAAATTAGGTCAGTAAGTGATGTTTGACATTTTAAAAGAACAAAATATTTATACTCAAAATATATTTCTTTGGAAAAGCTAAAAAAGACATACTCATATGAAAGAGTTTCCTTTCAGAATAGACAGAAAGTTGAACTAAATTCATAACAAAAACATGATCACCGAACATCAGGTCCAAATTCTACACTTGGTTCTGAAGTGTACACTAAAAGAGGGCATTAAAAAATAAAAAGTAGTTTGGGCATAATAATTACCTAATGATGCAACTTGAAAAGTATTAGGAGACTTAGAAAAGGAGAAAGGGAACTCTAGTAGAATCTAATTTGATTCCTGTTGTGGGTTCAAGTTCTACACGGGCAGACACACGTATACACACATGTTTTTTGTACGAGGGAATCTGCAAATATGTATATATGTATAATCATATATATGGATTTATGCATGTACATACATCTATACACATATATACGTAAACTGATATTAAGATGGACCTGCAAATTCTCATCCTATGCAAACAGCTAATGAAGACACAATTAAGCATCCCTAATTGGTTTTTGTGCCTGTATATTTTACATACCATGCATGCTTTTACTTATATGACAATAAAAAAAAAAATCAAACTTGCTTGCACATATTCATTACTAGATTGTCATCAGCTTATCCCATAACAAGCTAAAGTGAACATGTATCTCCACATTATCTTAGCACCATCTTCTATCCATTCGCAATACACCGGTGGCCTAATGAAGGAAAATGATAAGAGCTAAGAATGCCGATTTTAGCAAGCCTCAACGGTTAGATCTAATCGGATTCTTGATATCATCTGCAAAACCTTGATTTTTTTCCATGCTGAATTACCAGAAACGACGAGAAGAATTAAACGAATCGAAGAAACACGAAAAGAGATTCATCATCAAGCAAACCCCAACAACCAGGAAATTAAAATCGGGCGAACCAACATCACGGATCTCAGATCTACAAATCAAGTAAAAAGGAAAGGGTAAAAAGGGGAGGTACGAGCGGGGTCGCACAGAAGAGGGGAAGGAGGGCGAGGACCAGTGCGAGGCCAGGGCTGGAGGCGAGGGCCGCGTTTACGGGACGGTAGAAGACCGTTGCGGCGGAGACGGCGGTGGTGAGCAGCACCTGGACGGCGAGGATGCCGTAGACCTTGCGGATGAACCCCCACCGGAGGTCGTTCTCGCCGAGCGAGAGCCCCGGGTAGAGCGTCCCGGCCTCGATGTCGAGGCCGGGGGCGACGCCCTTCTCCACTCGATCGTATCCGTACATTCTCTTCGATGCTCTCCGGTCCGTCTCCAATGGTCCAACAAGGAATAATGAACGGGGCGGCCAAGCGAGCTCCTCATTTATGTACGGTGAGAGAAGAAATGTTACGTTAATAATAATAATAATAATAATAATAATAATAATAATAATAATAATAATAATATCATAAATTTTAACTATGAATCTTTTATGTTATTAAGATTTTATAAAAAATTATATATTTAATTAAATTTAAAATATTTAATTTTTTATTTATAATTTATATTATTTTTTTAAGTCTTCATCTATTTATTCTCGTATCACTAAATATAAT